GACAACGATGCGTCGATGACACTGAAAAGACCTGCGTCCCAGGCGCAGAAGCCGCTGGATAAACGCAGCCTCGAGTATATTCTTCGCTCGGGCCTTGCAGGTGGATTGGCAGGATGTGCGGTACGTGAGAACGCTGGGTTAGCCACTCTTGTTAGGACATTGCTGATTGATGTAATTCTAGGCCAAAACCGTTGTCGGCCCTCTGGACCGCGTCAAGATCCTCTTCCAAGCTTCGAATCCTCAGTTCGCAAAGTACACGGGCAGCTGGTTCGGCGTGGTGACTGCGATGCGCGATATCCACAAGTATGAAGGGGTACGGGGTTTATTTCGTGGACATTCGGCGACTCTTCTGAGGGTCTTCCCATATGCCGGGATCAAATTTCTCGCCTACGAGCAGATAAGAGCAGTTATCATTCCGGACAAAATACACGAAACACCTTTTCGTCGCTTTATATCGGGGTCGCTGGCGGGCATTACCTCTGTCTTCTTCACCTACCCTCTGGAGGTCATCCGGGTGCGGCTCGCTTTCGAGACGAAGCGCGACTCACGTTCGTCTTTGAGTCGAATCTGTCGACAAATCTACCATGAACAGCCTCCACACCCAGAGCATCTCACTAATCAAAACCCAGTCGCAGCTGCCACGAACGTGGCGCAAAGAGCCGTACCTAAGTCTGGGCTTGTCAACTTCTACCGCGGGTTCTCCCCAACCTTACTGGGTATGCTGCCATATGCCGGAATGTCGTTCTTGACGCACGACACAATTGGCGATATATTCAGACATCCTATCCTAGCACCATACACAGTGCTACGGTCAACATCTACGGCTGCAGCCCCGCCACCAGAGGAAAACCGGTCGAACGTCAAGGTCTACCGGCGCGCCCAATTGAATGCCCCGGCTGAGTTGATATCGGGCGCAATAGCTGGCCTGGTCTCCCAAACCTCCTCTTACCCACTTGAGGTGATCCGACGGAGGATGCAAGTCGGCGGTGCCATTGGAGATGGCCACCGCTTGACTATTGCCGAAACGGCGCGTCGGATATGGCTGGAACGAGGCTGGAGAGGGTTTTTCGTCGGTCTGACCATTGGCTATGTCAAAGTCATACCGATGGTCGCCACGAGTTTCTATGTTTACGAACGCAGTAAATGGTTGCTGGGGATTGGTTGATGTTTGGCGGAGTCCCTGGATCGGGTTTTGGCCAAACTCGTAGAGTTGAAGGCCAACACTGATCTCCCTACAATGTTTCCTTTTTTTTGTTCCTCCCAAAAACAGGGCGCCTGTGAAGTTTCCCTCCTCAGGGACAATGTTGGCTCGCAGATGCCACAGTCTAAGTTGGAAGGAAGAGCAGGCAAAGAATGTCCGAAAGACGCCCGCTCCACGATACCGGGCTGCATAGCCCTGGTAACGACCCGAAACTGAAGCCATGTCGGTGTTGTCGCTATTGTCAGCATCGTGGTGGTTTCTGAATTGGTGGGTCGTGGTTGTATCATATGTGGTCGGTCTCATTTGCACCAACGGTGCCTTTATATACTCTTACATTACAGGTTGTCTGGGCACCCAGGACACAACGTGGGATCAAGCAACTGCTTTACAAGTCGGATTCGGCGTCATTGGCATGCATGGGAGGGCAATGGTCCACACCTACCAAATTCATGTTCGCAAACACTCCAAACAAAATATCCCTTGCATCAAGGTTATAACGATAAACACTTCAAAGATTACCATATCCTCTATCGCCCTATGCGTCAAGTCATCGTCCAAGATGACTCCTCAAGCACTTATTACCCTGTTCTCATTATGACATTCTATGGACCACCAACCTCAGTCGTTATATCAGATGTTCTCCGCAAGGATATCAAACACCATTTCTTCGGCAGCAACCGACTCCCTAATCTATCATGTCCACGAGGATGTCAAACCCCGTACCATTGTCCACGGCCGCCTATATGGTACACCGTGTCACAAGGCGTTTTCCCGTTCCCAGAGAGCACGGCATATTCGTAAATCCCGCGAAGGAATTAAACCAGCAGATGATAGCATCGTACCAGGACAATACGAAGGAAAGGGTAACCAAACCAAAGAAGAGCGCTGCAAGATCCCAGTACCGCAAATACTAAACCATCAACAGCAAAGAAGCCTGCAGGTGAGCAGCAAGGGAGAGAGAAAGAGCTAGACTACCTTCAATGTTACACACCCCGATGTGAAATAGCTATCACCAGAGCTGTCCATAAACTAGCAGCCAAGAAGGAGTTGGATGTGAACTCATCCAGCCGCCTGGCAGCGGAACTGCCGATCTACACCGGCATGATGCGGGTGGCCTTCAACCCAGAGGCTATCAACGTTGACACCAAGGGGCTCTCCTACATCAACCATGACACCGACGCGCGCTAGCTGCCTATGTACACCGGGATGATGCGGGTAGTAATGACCCCAGAGGTTGTCAGCTTCAACCATGACATCAAGAGCCATGTCCACTACACACGTCAGCCACTGGAACGACTCATACCAAGTCATTATATGCTCGGAGGTTGAGGTGGAAGCTCTGTTTGCCTACATCACCCCCAATGGGACCGGTCCTGGTGCTTCGAGACCTCCAGACCCTTCCATGTAGTCGACTCGACATGTCTAACTACTTGGACATACTCTCCACCAGGGCAGCCGTGGATCTCCACCACTTTGACGCACAAAGTGGCCCTGATGACGAGGGGGTGTTCCTTACGCCAAAGCGGCTCGACAAGAATCCAGCACCCTGTCGATCGATGCTGGGTTTCTGTATGTATAGGGAACTAATGATAGTGATGAAGATTATAAATGTAAGTGTTAGGGAGAATCCAACGTGCTTTGCCGGTGGGCGGCGCAGCCCGCGAGCGCAGCGCTGCCGAGAGGGGTTCTCTTTTTTTTTTTGGCTAAATAGGGTAATGGTGAAGCTTTTGATGAACCGACAATTCATGTATCTGAAATTTTGAAGATGGTGGGGAAAGTCAGCCTGCCATGTGATGTACAGCCTTGCTTAGTTATCAAGTACGGTGGATTGTGAAGTGCAGTTTTCAGGGCGGAGCATGGGGACCACTCAGTGTGGGCGAAGTGCACCTCGTAGACAAAGAAGCCCAGCTCATTTGGAGAGGGAACGCTCCAAGCAGGCATATTAGGACATCAAACACCACGCCAGAAACAAGTTTGAGTTATAGACACGACGTCCTCCAGAGTGATAAAGTGGTAAGTTATGGACAAGCGGCCGTGGTGAGGGACTACGCCAGGAATGATTGATGGAGGAAGAATTCTACAACGGTCCTGGGGCACCTGTCAGACTATATATTATCGATTAATTACAGGGGCGTTACTAGCGCCGTTCGGAGGCCATTACATTGCCTTTGTCAACCCTCGCCCTGTCAGTCACATCCTTTTCCACCAATTAAATACTGATGTATACCTCTTCATCACCCTTTCACCACTATCACCACCATCAACATACATGGCAAATCGAAATTCCTCTGGTCCACAAGCACAGCCACAGCCACGGCCAAATATATTTGCCCCGGTAGGATCTTCCTATACCCACACTCGCGCCTATACTGCAGCCAACGACGACGAATTAAAACAAGCCACCAAGCGTACCCAGTACGCGGGCTGAACAAATCAGTGCCATCCCGGACGGCCTCGCACAGGCTCAGCGCCGCCATCGGTGAGCTGAGCGCGACGAGATTTTGAATCGGGGACTCGACAAATTCGATGCTGGATTTGCGGGACTCAATGCCTAAAGTGCAACAATGGACAGGGGTTTGCTCAGATGAACGTGATATTTGACCAACTCAAATGCCTACAGGGCGACAATAGACAGGAGTTCTGGTCAAAATGAACAGGAGTTCGACTCTGCTGAACATGAGATTTGACCAAGTCGACGCGAAAGTAGACGCGAGAGACGCGAGGTCTGATCAAGCGTTTACTCAGAAAGACGTGAGGTTTGACCAAATGAATCACAACCACGACCACAAAGTCGAAACTCTTGCGAATACTCACACTCATACTCATACTTTGGCTCTTTGAACCAAGACCAAGTAAAGGACGAGTAACGGATCCAGTGAGGCCACGAATGATCACCAATCCATTCCAGGGTGTTGAGTTGTGTTGAGTGCTAGGTTTGATTGCCCTACGACGACAACGACGACGTCATCAACACCCGAAGATATTCCTACTAGGAGATCGATGACTAGACGCCTATTTAAGTCTTTCATCAGGTCTTGATCTGAACCGGATTGATTATCCTGCAACCCCCGCTGAGGGGGGCGGGAGGGTCTATCACCACCAGCTTGGTGGACCGCACCGTTGTGGTGGAACAAACCGTGTTTAACAACGTTAAGACGGGCGGCGCCGAGGAAGGGAATGGCCATGGGAATGGGAGGGCCATTGATCAGGCAATTTGAATTTTGGGCGGGACTCTGCTTCAACGTACCCTACTGAGATATGCGGCGTGGAGGGATAGGAGGGCTTCAAATCAATAAAATAAAGTCAATTGAATCACCATCAGAGAATTGATTCCATACCCATACCAAAGAATCTACAAGACTAGTATCACGAAGACACACGGTGTGCGCCGCGTTGAGGGCTCCGAAGGCTATCGTATCAATGAATGATCTTGATGTTGGGCGGGATCCCAGACGGAAACATTACATTATCTTACTTTACTTTGTGCAATGAATGCTAAGACGTGCTTTCTGTCGTTTCTTTTTCTTGTTCTCTTTTAGTCTAGATTGCGAGTCCCAAGTGGTGGTTCTATGGTCCGTGATATTTCATGTACATTCCATCCTGTGGCGTGAGGTATATTGTCTACCTGGCACGCTGGGAAGGGATGGGAAAGGACGCTTCTTGTATCCTTTGCGCAGATGGATCTATCGCGCCGCACAGTGATTTCATTCCTCCCATCTCACAAAGGCTGAGGCTGAGAGGCTAACCGAGAGACATGGCATGGCAGATAAAGCCTCGATCAACACCTCTGCTTCCCCGCTTACTCTCTCCCCAGTCTCTCTTTGTCATCCGCCGTCATTTCATATGCGGGCTTGTACCGTTCCTTCCCGTGTTCGTCCGTGTACCGCAACTTCGGATTCCTGACCGTGTCATTCACTCCTCCTAGACTCGTGTAGCCCGCGTCATACACTTCACAGTACCTCAAGGGGGCGGTCGTCGCGGTACATATGGTGGCTCCTGGCTCTGCAGCTCCTCCGCCCTCGCTCGCGCTGCTGCAGCCGTTCGAACAAGACCCAATGTCCCTGAGATGCGGGGAGCGCAGGAAGCACCAGATCTCCGAAAGGTGCCAGTCAATCACCGGGTGGATGCGCATGAACGGCGGCCAATTGTGGTCGGTCGGGTCAAAGTGTGTCAAATGAGACCCGTGCGGGTCGGTGCGCCGGGTGCCCACGAAGATGGCCTTGATGTGCGGATTGGATGAGAGGTATAGGGCAAAGGCGTCGCGGAAGGTGATGATTGGTTTGTCCAGGGTCTTTTGGTACGAGTTGGTGTGGTTGGTGTTGTTGGCGTTGGTCTTCTTCCCGTTGTTTGAGAGATCACCTCCACCACCTCCCTCTAGTCCTAATGAGTCCACGGGAAGTGGTGGGCCGGGCGGATTGGAATGCGACTTCTGTCTCTTGTCCGGGCCGGGATTTGTGGATATGTGGGTTAAGTCGAGATGGTAGAGGCGCGCAGAATAGTCGACAAAGTCGGACACGGCGGGGAAGGGATCCGGCGGTTTTGCGTAAATCGAGGGAATGGACTTGGGGAACTCTTTCCGCCTGTTCTTGGGTTGCGTGAAATGTATATGGATGACGGCGAGGTACAGGACGAGAAGAACCAGGCAATCTTTGCCCCCGTTATAGGAGAGAGACAGGCTCTCAAATCTATGTTCATAGTGCACAAACAACAGGTCAGATCTCATAAAGACGGAGGCGGAGGGTCGGCGGGGCTAAATTATGGCTCACTCATATTCGTCCAGCGCCTTTTCTATAACTCGCATGGATATTCTCGCTTGCTCTTGTGTTTTCCTCGTCACATCATCTTCAGGAGCGGCCGAGAGGAACGAAGCGACCTGTGCATGGAGAAGGGCACAAACTTCCTGCAACGAGTGGGAGACGGGAGCGGGCGACGAAGGTACATCAGCTTCTCCATTGACCGAGACCGAGGCGAGGGTTCCATTGGTCATGGGGGCTTTGGGCGGCAGCGATGTGGTGTTCATAATGGCGACGACATGTATAGGAGGACGACGTGGTAAGAGACCGGGAAAAGAAAGAGACAGTCCAGTGGACGAGTAGAGCGAGAGGGAGAGAGGGAGGGACCGAGTTTTGCCTCGAAGTTTGAGAAGCCGAAAGAAATCTAGAAATCGGAGAAAATGGATGGTGTGGGGGAATCCCCGGGGCTTTGATACGTACGAGGCTTTCTCTGGCCCGGCCTGTGGCCTTTGAACCCTGAAAGTATTACCCAAGGGTGCCTGGGTGCCACGGGTATTTACGAAGGAGAGTTTGTACTCATATGATCCTTGCCGAGTTACGAGTTCCCAAGGCTGACACGAACTGCTGCCGGGAGGCTGCGTCCCCGTCGTTGACCGAAGCCGGTAGAATAGACTCTGTCACCACCTCTATTCACCACCATGACTTGTTTCCATTGATCCGTCTCGAATCTTAGCCCCACCATCTATTCTCTGCGCCGAGGCAAGTTCATATCCTACCAATAATGTCGTTCAAGACATCAGCAACTTCATCCACGCTTTTCAACACTTGGGACGGGTTCGTAGTCGGCACTCTGTGTGCTTGGACTGTTGAACTGTATTTAAACCACTGTTTTGTCAATGTTGCGGCAGACGATTGGTAGCAGATGGAATTGTACGGTTGTCAGGAAGGTCGTCCATCCTTCACTTCCCAGACTGAAATGTTCATATTCCAAGCATGGCATGCTCATTCCGCCTCTCACGATTGCAAATATCGCCAATTCCCCGTACCCTTCCATCATGCGCCAGTAATCGTGGTACATCAAAGGTCCGCCGCCTCGTTATGTTCATGCCGATAAACAAACCTGTCCCCATCGAGCAAAGCCATCAGCCCAGGACCTTCATCTTCTTTTTCTTCTTGCCCTCCTCGCCCTTTTTGGCGCCCTTCTGGAAATCGCGCCAACTCCCTATTCGCTGCTCTCTGGTTTCCTCCCAATCTTTCTCATGGTCACGCTTTCGCTTTCTCTCCTCCAACTGCGCGTCCTCTTTCGCCTTCTCACGACCCTCTTCTTGCATTCTCGCCTTCATCTGTCGCCGCCTCCGCGCCTCTGCTTCTACCAGTACTTCGACCGTCTTTTTTCGCCATTCCTGCTTGAATTCCTCTGTTTTTAGCTCCTCAGAGTCCACGGTGTACTTGTGCTGTCTGATCAACAGTTGTCTTGCATCTGCGATGCATTCATCAAGGTGCTGACGTTGCTTCTCATCCAGTAATGCAGTTTGTGCTTTCTTGAGCCGGTCAAAGGCTTCCGGGGCTGAAGGATTTTTGGTCTTGTCCGGGTGAATTAGTAAAGACTTCTTGCGATAAACGACCTTGATGTCTGATTCAGGTACTCCCGGTTGGAGGTCTAGTACTGCGTAGCTGCGAATGGGTCAACGGCTGACAAGCGGACCAGGAATGGCACAAAACTTACGCATCGAGTCTAAAGGCATTGAGGATACGATCGATCTCTGCGTCCTGTAACCGATGTCAGCCAAATATTCCTTACGTAGGTCAAGGACACACACCTTGTCATATTCCTTCGCTTCTTTCTCAAGTACATCGAGAGCATCGGACTCATCATTAGCCATGGCGGGCTGATAGTATGTAGCTTACCAATGACTATCAGGATCTTCACCTCTTGGTGACAATCTAAGTGGCAAAAGCGAGCGACTTTATGAGAAGGGGAAGAAATTTTGCCCACGGCACGGAATGCTGATCAGGCGCAGTTACAGTGGTAATTACTTCGTTGGGAACAAGGTGCGACAATGGCGCAGAGACAGCAATACAACAGGACAAGGCGGCCACCAGACGCTCCTCCGCTCTGCTTGATAAGGAAGCTGTTCCGACAAGTGTTGCCGAAGTTCTCCCGTTTATCGATAACACCTCTCATCATGTGACCACAAAATAATTTGAGCCCCAGCCAGTCCTGGCAGAAATCCATTCGTTAATTGTCCCAGCCAAAGTTTTCACATTGCTGCGATGGGGTCCCAGGGGTATCGGAGGGGGACAAAGGGCCCGAGGAAAGATTTTCAGAGGCCTAGGGCACTCAAACGGAAACGAGAAGAGGAAGATCTCGAGGCCCTCGCTCAACGGGTAGCCAACTTCGATCCAAAATCTGCGCCTCCGCCAGAGAACTTCGTCGACCTCCCACTATGTCAAGCGACTCAAGACGGTCTCGCAGCTTCTCACTTCAAAATCTTGACCACCATCCAGAGCAGGACCATCCCGCTGGCATTGCAGGGTGCGGATATCCTGGGCGCAGCAAAAACGGGCTCAGGGAAGACCCTGGCATTTCTGGTACCTGTCCTAGAGAACTTGTACCGCAAAAGATGGACCGAATACGATGGCCTGGGGGCGCTGATACTCTCTCCCACCCGAGAATTGGCCATTCAGATCTTCGAGGTGCTGCGGAAAGTTGGCCGCAACCACACTTTCTCTGCTGGTTTGGTGATCGGGGGCAAAAGTCTACAGGAGGAGAGAGAACGACTGGGACGTATGAACATTCTGGTTGCCACTCCTGGGAGAATGCTACAGCACATGGATCAGACGGCGGAATTGGACATTGGAAATTTACAGATGCTGATATTGGACGAGGCGGACAGAATCATGGACATGGGGTTCAAGCAGACCATCGACGCTCTCCTCGAGCATCTTCCACGGGACAGGCAAACTCTCATGTTCAGCGCTACCCAGACTAAGAAGGTCTCTGATCTTGCTAGACTGAATCTGAAAGACCCCGAATTTGTCTCCGTCCACGAAGCCGCCGATAGCGCCACGCCTACGTCTCTACAACAGAACTATGTCGTCACTCCGCTGGCAGATAAGCTCGATACCTTGTGGTCCTTCATTCGTGCAAACGTCAAAAAGAAGATTCTGGTCTTCCTGAGCAGCGGCAAGCAGGTTCGTTTTGTTTACGAGGCATTCCGGCACCTTCAGCCTGGTATTCCCTTGCTTCACCTGCATGGGCGGCAAAAACAGACGGCGCGGGTTGAGATCACCACGAAATACTCAAACAGTAAATATGTGTGCTTGTTCTCAACAGATGTGGCTGCCCGCGGATTGGACTTTCCTGCTGTTGACTGGGTTGTCCAGGTCGACTGTCCGGAAGACGCTGACACTTATATTCACCGAGTCGGGCGAACGGCAAGGTTTGAGCACGATGGGCGGGCTGTTTTATTCCTTGACCCGAGCGAAGAAGACGGTATGCTGAATGCGCTAGCAAAAAAGAAAGTTAGCTTGGAGAAGATCAATGTGCGGCAAAAGAAAATGCAACAAACCATCCGGAACCAGTTACAGAATATGTGTTTCAAGGATCCCGAACTGAAGTACTTGGGACAGAAAGCGTTCATCAGCTACGTGCGCAGTGTCCACGTTCAGAAGGATAAGGAGACATTCAACCTGAAAAAGCTCGACTTGGAAGCCTTTGCGGCGAGCCTGGGCCTTCCCGGCGCACCTCGCGTCAAATTCGTCAAGGGAGAGGATGCAAAGGCCAAGAAAAATGCCCCGAGACAACTCCTGGCTGCCCTGGAGTCGAGTAGCGAAGAGAGTGATGCTGAAGGCGAGGCGCGGTCAAAACAAAAACGGAATGGTGGTGTCAGGACGAAATACGACCGGATGTTCGAGCGGCGCAACCAGGACGTCTTGGCGGAGCATTACACGAAGCTGATTGAAGACGACCAGGATGACAACGGCAGCGACAACGATGGCGAAAGAATAAAGGCAGAAAACAAGGCCGCTCCCAGTGACGAGGTGGACGATTTTCTCTCAGTGAAACGCCGCTTCGTTGCTGGCGACTCAGATCTCGACCAGGATAGCGACAGCGACTCTTCCTCGGCGAAAGGAAACTCAGACTCCAGAGCTTCCCTCGAACTAAAAACCATCAAACTCTCCACCAACCCGGACGCTCCCGCCCTCAAAATCGACTCGCACCGGCGTGAGAAGCTGCTCGCCTCGAAGAAGAAGCTCCTCAAGTACCGCGGCAGGGGGGCGCACCTCACGTTCGACTCGGACAGCGACACGCCCAAGGACAAGAAAGCGTACCGCGACGAAAGCGAGTTCACGGCGGCCGAGGAGGAGAGACGGGCGTTCTTGGAGCGCGAGGCCGAGAGGGCGAGGGAGGCGGATGCAGTCGACAAGGAGATCGCGAAGGGCAAGAGGCGCGAGAAGAAGGAGAAACGGAAGGAGAGAGAGAGACAGCAGCAGCAACAGCAGCGCATGGAGTCTACTAGGGACGGAGATGTCGAGGGAGACGGTGTCCAACTCGTTCCGTACGAGGGTGATCTCGATGTCGACGCAGAAGACGATGGACCTCTTCGACTTCACTCCTCTGCCGAACCTGAACCCAAACCGAAACGTCAGAGGAAATGGTTCCAAGACTCGCCGTCCACGTCCGACAACGACGATGAGTACCACAATCGGGAGAAGAAGAAGACAAAACGCCCAAAGAAAAACAAGCGCGGCACCACCGCGCAGCAGCATCAGCAACCACAGACGCTGGAGGATCTCGAGGCTTTGGCCACTGGTCTTCTCGCGACTGCTGGGTAGGAGGGAAGCGGAGGAGAGAGAGCTCAGCGAGTACCTATGTGTGTATGCGTGTACATACATATATTTTGTGTGCCGTGCTATGCTGTATCCTTCGATTCCATGGCCGTTTCCTATACCTAGCACCTAGTAAAAGTTGAAGTAAAGCCGGATGATCCATGTTCTACCCATCCATTATCACAGCGAATGAAAAAAAAAAAAAATCCCGCTACGCAACCTTTATGGTTTTTCAAAATGGAAAATTAAATCTGTTTCTGCTTTCTTTATGTGCCCGCCTGCGAGCGGATTAAGCCCCGTTGCCCATTCCCATCATTGTTCGTCCCAATTAAAAGAGGCCGTTACAATCGTATTTCATTCAATCGACAAAAAGGGCCCTCAACCAATGTTCTCTGCGTTCCCAGGGATGGCACATGCCGTGCCATGTTCCCGAGTCGCCAAATACCCTGTTTTATCATCGTTCTCCGGTTCTTTCGCCATAATGGATCCGTCAATCGACAGAGAGGCCGAGATCTCGTTCAGGGTAACGGTCTGTCGTAGCAGACCGTCTCCCGACATGGGTGGTTTGACCGACTTCTCCCTTGCCATTTACTCGAGATGGATCGGTCTGGCGATGGTGCCATGTTTGCGAATGTCTTCTTGTGAGGCTATGTACAAATAACAATCCTGCCACAAAGGAAAAAAAGCTCGTGGATCTTTGCTCGTTGCATCCGGGATATCATATTGTGACAAAGGCCCCCGTCAACTGGGCTTCATGGCACACTAGGCGGGCTGGCCTCGCGATGCTGACCGATTTCATGTAGATTCTATCTTGTACTGTTGACCAATTTGTGTATAGATCGGGTATCGAAAAAGCATCGATATGAGATTCGTTGCGTTCCGGCGGTCGAAAAAAATCGACTTTGGACGCCGCCCAACTTGGTGTGTCTCGTTGTTGGAATTATCCCTCTTTTCGGAAAAAGAGGCAAGTAGGTTTTTCTTCTGCCGTTGCTCATTCTCTTTGCGTCCGTTAGAAAAGGTACAAATCCGTTCCCGTGTCCTGCACGGAGCATCTTTTGTACCCGATTAAGAATAGTTGTACAAGAAATTTAAAAATTGTGAGGAAAAATAGAAGAATATGCTCCAGCTTTACCACCCAGGTGCTCGTTGCTTCATTCGACAAAGGAAAAGGGCCTCGTATGATATGCGCGATCATTGCGATGGTGATTCTTGTGCGTGTCCCGGTCTCGTCATACACGTAAGGGGGCGGTCCGAATCATTCATTTCGTGGACCTAGGATGCCCTGGATGTCCATCTTCGGTCTTTTTGGATCTGGCTCTTGTGTTCCTTCACTTCTGTTTCCCTGCTGTCCTCTTGGGTTCGGCAGAGTTTGTTGCGGAAGCTGCTGCACAATCGCTGGGTCGATCGGACCTTGAGGTGCTGGTAGGATCGGTGGTAGCTGAAGACCGGAGGATGTGCTCATGGGGGGCAGATGTTCGGAGGACAAGGATGATGAAGGGCGTGGAAAGATAGGGTTCGAAGCGTAATATCCATGAGGTCCCATTTGCGGTTGCTGGGACGGGTAGTTGTAGCTACTGGCATACCCTAGCGTTCGGAAGGCTGATTCTGGTTGAGAAGGGCTGTAGGACGAGGAGACCTGTCCTGGCATTGGAGCCATGCTGCCATGATATTGTCTCGACGAGGCAGGCACAAATGTGCCTTCTGCCATTGCCAGACTCGGTGATATTGATGCCGGGCCGTGTAAAGTGAAGGCTGGTGATCTCGGCTGCCCTAATCGAGGTGTTGGTGGATTATACGGTCTAAGAGGTTGATATCCTGGTCCTGCGGCATACATTGACGGATCCCCGAATCTCCTCGGGGCTTCTCCTAGACGCCCGGGCAAAGGAGTCAGTGTTGCCTCAAACTGCCGTCTTGAAGAAGCGTCGTCTGGTTTCAACGGTGGCCGGCCTCTCTTCTTGTGCTCGACATCTTTGCAGGAGTCCTAGAGAAATAGTCATCAGCTCGGTTCACCAGACAGGGAAATTCCACGATCCGCGCACCTCTTTACCGCTCTGTACACATCTCCGACATGGACGACTGCTGTCACACCGCAGATGCTTCTTCTTGCAATTCACGCAAGCCGATGCGACGTGCGCCTTAGGTTTTCGAGTAGCGCGTGGTGAAACAGGACTCAGTGCCAACCGTGGCGAAGGTCCGCCAAAGGATGTCGGTGGTAAACTCGACGCAGATTGATATGGAGCAGGGGGTAGCGGATAGTTCAGCGCATACGGCCCTGGTTGCACGGCGAGTTCGGTAATGGTCTCCCCACCTCTTGATACCGCACTTGGCCGAGGGACAGCGATGTCCAACGGCGCTACAGGGGGAGCAACTGCTGCCGCCGTCGTGGCGACTGTTGATGTTGTAGTTGGAGGAGAGTAGGATCGGGATCGCTTTCTTCTTCGACCAGCTATCTGGGCAGGTTCAGCAGGAGGTTCCGGTGGAGGAGAACCGGACATGGGAGGGGTGGGGAGAGATGCCCAGATGGGCGCGGCGACTGGCTTCGGCAGAGTGAGGTGCTCTATGGTGAATCTTGAGTTGTCGAGGCTGGACCGGTGTTTCTTGAAGGACGGACAAAGAGCGAACTGAGGTGGGCGTGAATGCTGCATCAGGTTCGTTTCCCACGGAGCTCGTTCGAAGATCGCATAGACTGCCCGTTTTCCCCTTTTCCTTCTCCCTTGCACAGCTTTTGTCGACGGAACGATGGTCCCGGTGACTGCAATGCCGCTTCTCCTTCAAATGTCCGTGCTCAGATGTCGTTTCCGAATTCCAAAGTGACTCTGCCTCGCTCAACCAGGTACCGAATGTACCTCCGACGCTTACTTAGATGTCCGCCGCGAGTGCCTTGGGGCCCGAGTCAGTGTACTGCGTCAATACCCAATGGACTGAAGGGGAAACTGGACACAACATATCCACCAGAGTTGTGTTGCCTACCCGCTCAAGTTTTGTCAGATTCCCTCCTGGCCCCCAATTTGATATCCAACCAATATTAACCAAACAGAATTATTCCAAGTAAAGATGCCTGATGTCGAGGGTTCCAACGATTGAACAGAAGTTGGGAGGTCGTCAAACTCGGGCAAATCCAAGAGGCACAGCGCGCCAGCTGCACCAGAGCGAATCACTGGGCGTCAAATCGAGAAAGGAACGTCTGGACTGAGTGGTCCGCGGTCCACGATGAGTTCAAGTAGGAAAGAATCAAGATTCGGTGGATATGATCTGGAAGTCATGACAGGGCCAGAGAACCAAACTCAATTGTCAGAGACGCGGGCCAATGCGGTCGTAGACGTGTTCGTCTGTTATGCAAGGGCAGCCGCCTCTGGGCCATCCAGAGACAAAGCGGGAACCTGAGCAGCAGACAAATTTCCTCATGTTCGTGAACCGTGACGGCGATCTGCTCTATTGAGAGGCAGTAGACGGAGTACCTGACCCAATAGTGCCGGTTAACAGCTCCACCCTGGTATGGATACGAAGCCCACTCCTCATGAGATCCAGGGATCCAGGAAGCCGAGAAGCTGAAAAAGGTCTGCATTAGCTTTTGCGTCGGAGCGGACACTTGGCCCCGTCTTCCGCTGTCAATTGCGACATTCTATAATCCCGCAGGGTTGTGTGGACAATGTTTCGCCGCCCGTCGCGAGAGCCACGGTGCCATGGTGTGCATGTCTAGGTCGGTGGCACCAGATAGTGGTGTCTCGGCAAGCCAGCGACGCGATGGCACCAGCCACAATCCGCCCCCCAGGCTGGCGGGGAACATGAGGCCAGCTGGAACAAAATGGGCTTTTGCCCTGGGTGGTAAGCACTGCCTGATTTTGCTCCAAGAGGGTTTAGAGACGCACGGGGCAAGGCGCAAAAAGGGTGGCCAACGTAACAAGCACTCAAAAAGAAATACTTGGACAGGTAAGCTTCGCCCAGTCCGGGTGGATTGTCATGGGAAATTCCTTGACCTGGGTTGTGCTTTGCAGAAGTCGCGGAAGAAAACACTCTGGCCTGCCAATCGAGAGCCTTCTTTGCTCCAATTCCCCCAAAGGTTCAGGGCTCAAGGTTTCTCACCATTGGGCGGACAGAGTCTGAATTGGGCAAAGCAATTGGGCAAGGCCGGCCGTTGAGAACGGAGCCTTGATAGCAACGTCGATTGGCGACAGGTTCGCAAACATGGAGAAACAGGGGAGAGACAAGACCAGACGGCTTCTGGCCGAAACGACCGAATCATTGACAGGCATTGCCATGATGCAACAGGAGAGGGTAGAGCCTTTTGGCCCCCCCAAGAGATCCAGGCTGGACTTGGGCTGGCAGGATTTTTGCCTTGTTTCGAGGAAGTAGGAAGTAGTTCGCCTACCAGTGGCTGCGATTCAGCCAGGGGTTATTCAAACCAGCGTCCAAAGGGGTGAAGACTGAGCAGCCATGCTCGCATGATCGGGGATCTGATGTCGTTCTGCCAATCTCAAGGTGTTGACTATCGGGCTGCCTCTGGCCAGAAATAGTCACAGCTGTACCACCCGATGACGAGCTACGAACCTCCGCGGTGGGCTCTAAGTCCCACAAATCCTACTGACAAGTTGGGGAGTTACTGAGACCTCTTCTCACTTCTTTGTTTATTGTTGTTTTGGCGTCAATCGGGCTCTGGCTTTTAGGCATCCGAGGCGGGGCCCGATAGTGGGTTCAATAATGATTGTTGGGTCTTTCATTCTTCTGACCATCGTCATATTCTTCATGTTTTCTTCAGCCACTGCATTTCCAGGATGTAGCAGGGGGGCCCCCAGACCGAAGGAATAGACGCAATCGATAAGAGGATCTTTGTTCGATTTTTCCCTCGTACATAGGTTGTCGAAATGAGTTGCCCCTGGACTTCTGCCTCTTTTCCTTCCCGGCAGATGCCGTCCCAAAAGTCCTACCTACATCCCTAGGCAAGCTGACGTCGTCTTGGAAAGCAAGTGATGTTGGCTTTGCAGGCCCCTGTGCGTCCGGGTGGCTAATGCTGCCCGGATCTCGGTCTTGCTTCTGCCACAGATACTCGAGGGTTTCATCGCTTGTATTTGCCCTTGATGTCGGCTTTGCTACAAGTTGGGCCGTTGATTGGGTATCTGCGCCAATCTTCAGTGGTGGCCACTGGCAGTGGCCCAGAATGCCATGTCCACGATGCTTCAGCCAGACCAGGGGTTTCGGATCAATACCGATGGACCCGGAAGTCTTAGAGGAATCTCCTGTTGGTTGAGACACACTGCGCTGGTTTCTCGCTTGGTGGGAATCCTCCGGCTGGGCTGTTTGTGAACTCCCTGTTTGGGACTCCCAGGAGGAAGACAGGGCACCCTCGTACGAGTTCTGTATGAGTATGTGCTAGGCCATGTGGGATATATCCTCCTGGTCCTGGAGCAGGGTTCCATAAATAATTTGGACACGGTAGTAGGCGAGTGACCGTCGCGTGCCCCCCCTTGGGTTGAGAGACAAGTTGACAGGCCTTCACCAATCAGCCAAGTCCCATTATTGTCTACTGAGTCCAGCGAGTACATGTTCAATATTGCAGCTCGTACCCGGTCCTCGTGCTGTTGCTCGTGCTGGTAGGAATGATGGTACTAAGCCGGAGCGGAGGTCATCCTTGTTTGGTTTTCATCTCATTCTGTGGGAAGCGGTCATCTCTAGACCCTGCCCACCATGACAGTGTCGGGGTTGACATGGCATATCCGGGAATGTATAAGGACCCCCTGGCATTCCACCCTCAAGCATGTCAGCTAACTGACGTCTCTCTGCACTTGCGTGGATGTACCAAGTGTGCCTAAAGGGGACTGGCTGCCACAAGCATTCAACCCGAATGTTTTCAATTCGGTCATCTTATTTTGTGTTCAATAGTTGGAGTGTTGGAGAACACCCGTCGATCAAGGCACTATTGGTTTCTGAAAGAAGGAGAGATCGTCGTTAAGCTTCCCACTCCAGGCCGGGCGCACCAGGTTTTCCGAGGATGGCGCCTCAAAAGCCTAATCAGGATCGATGACGGCGGACAAGCGAGAAAGAGGCTCGATCCGCCAGGGTACATTTCGGGTCGTCAATTATTCTCCGCAAAAGTTCCGTCGAACTTGCGACAAAGTTGACAAGTTTGTTGCGTCGATCCCGGGTGCTTTTTTCCTTGAGCGAGTCCCCTGTGAAAACGGCCCTGACGGAACTCAATTCATGATCCCTACCGTACGAGTATGTGATTTTGGACCTTTGTCGACATGTTCATTAGTCTGTGAGAGCCAATTCCAGCGGGACGAAAATGGGAACTTTGTCTGACTCCCCTGACCCTGTATCTTCCCACGCGGCTTGGGTGTCCTGGTACGAGTAATCATACCCCTTTCAGTCCGCGTCGCGTCGTATTCGGTATCATTTGGAGGTTGAGCGGGCTTTCCGCATCCAGTGGTCGGTGTGGCACCGCCCGAAGGCTGCACTAGATGCCATTTATTTCCCCTAGTCTTGCGCCACCCAAATCTCAATTCGTGATTTCTTGGGGAAACCCACGTGGCAATCACACCATGTCTGGCTGAGGCTAAGTGTGCTGGGGGCTGCCAATGCTTCTTTTGAGACATCTCAGCTGTGGAAGACCACCTTGCTTCTTTCTCATGAGGCAGTGAAGGAGATTAAATTTCAAGGCAGCCGGAACACCGGGAAATTTCTATGCGACAAGAGAAATTCTCCGATGCGAGAGTCTTGTCGTGGCGAAGGCGTTCGCTCTCTTTGCGAGAAGGTTCTTGTTTGATCCGAGAATATCTCAGGGAATCAATCTCCAGGGCGAGGAACGAACTCGCATTGAACGTTTCGCACCCGTTGAGACCATCCATCTCCTCAGCTAGGTACTCGTAGGTATGGACCTGATTAATAACACGGCACCAAATTGCATCTAGCGTTGCCTTTCTATGGGTATCAATGCCGCACAACTCAGCTATTTTGGGGATCCAGATCAAAACAGATGCGTTCACCATGGCCAGGCAATCACGGGTTGAGAGTCAGGACCGTAACACAGGATGGCATAAGAGGTACTGTAAGTGCATTGTGGTGATTTCGTTCAAGGCGTTTCAGGAGAGGTAAACAATACTCGTTTGACCGCGATGACACATCTACCTTTTGATTTTAGAGAAGCGAGACGGCAGCCGAGTGAGCAGACAGTATTCGAGGTATGGACGAGTGAGTCTACTGCCCATGGGAGATGAGGATGAAGTATTACTTGCGTACTTATACTACAATGTGCGCGATGCTCCTTGTGGCTGCCAAGAAATGAAATGACGACAAATCCCAAAGTGGCAGTCAACGTCAACTTGAACCTCACATCAACAACTCGCCCTCCTCCATCAGCTTGTCGAATGACAAATCCATCAACATTTACGCTCACATCACTTGTGGTCAGAGCTGCGTCTCCCTTCTATCCTTCCCACTGCCTCCTCAGCTCCTCTGCAAGAATTGATTGTGCATCTACCAATACATGTCGCGTGCTCTGATCGACCCCTCGTCAGTCGTCGAACCCTAGTAGAATCCCAGGACAACTGCCGAACGCGGGCACGATCCCCTCTAATAATGGCTACTCAAGCTGGCGCAGACGATCCTCTTGTTTCCGCCTTGCCGCCGGCCACCGATTACATGACTTACCTGACGTTGTTGGAGTATCAACTGACACCTCACAACCTTCCCACACTGAGCAGACTTCTCAGCGACGATGATGGCAAGCTTGCCGAAGAAATCGGTTGGGATCTGTTGAAACTTCTCCTTCCTATGTTGAAAGATACCCCTGAAGAGGCCAATCGATGCTTGGAGATCGTTGCTCGACGGGGCAATCCGAGAGAAGTCGTTGTTCGCGTTGCCGAAGAACTAGAGAAGTTGAGTGATCCAGTCCAGGCCTCTGACAATGAGGACGACTTCGAAGAGAGATATGGCCAAGACGAGCTACCGACGTTCCCGGGTGAAGCACCTCGAGTGCACCTTGGACAGATGACCCTACAGGGCATGCCTGCCGCTGTTCCTGCTGATAAAGCCAGCGGCGAGTCGAGCGCTGTCCATGAAACAGTGTCGGTCAAGGCATTGCAGCTGCAAGCACTCTTCAATATGTTGGGCATTCTCCACCCTAGGATCAAAACACAGTACCCTAGTCGCTTCCTTGCCACGTCTCTGCCGGCCGCCCTGGGTGCTTATCGGCAGGTTCCCATCTCAACCGTGACTACTTTCTCATTTTTGACCATGCTGGAGAAGATATCTGGCAAGAAACGGCCACCTTTGCCGCCTCGCACCAGCACCCAAGGTGAGGGCCCGTCGTCGAGCACACTTCCACAGGATGTGCCTGCGACCGCAGCACCTTTGCCAGATCCCGAGGCTAGGGCTGAAGAGGAAGATACCGGGGTCAGTGAGCCTTCGCAGGGTGAAAAGGCCATCATTTTTCGACTACTTGACGCCGTGCTACTCGAAGTTCTAGATGAATACATGTCCTCGCTTGCAGCTCATGACCATCCCTCCATGTCGTGGACCGCTCGTCTACGGGAGTATCGCGAGCCCAAAAGAGTCGTCCCTGGTAGACTGACAGAGATTGAGGTCTGGGAGCAAACGCCAGAATTGAAGGAACGCGACGCCCTTTTGGCGCGGTTCCTCTCAATCAGCAAACAGATGCAACTCGACCCAAACCAAGAGATTACAAAACTAGTCTATGAAGACGAGGACGAAGATGTTGGGAACCCCTACCATGATAAGGATAATGCACCTTCGGAATACCCGACCACGCCATCTCAAATTCCCTTCCCTCGAGCCGGTGTCATCTTCCTCCATGCTTACCAATCCTATATGACTCCGTCTGAGGCAGAGGTGCTGCTCACCACCTCTGAGCTGACAAAACTCATCGCTCACTCATTTCCCCTCAGCGCAACCCCGTCAATACCCCTGCCACCGCTACAGGATTCGCTTCTCTCTCTTCTGTACAAAAGATCTCTAGCAGTCTCTTCTGCGCCAACAACACCACAGCCCTCTCCGGCCAAATTCCTCCTTTTGATAAGCACATTGACGCAACTCTTTACCATCACACCTTACCCTTCTCTCCGTGACTCGGCACACTACATCGCCACAAGACTGCTACACGCGTATCCCGACCCGACCGTGCGCTTACAGGTCATTGCGCAAACGCTTCGAGGAGACACGCTCAGCACTAACTGGGCGGAAATCGAGGATGACTTGGAGGCGACCGAACCTCCAGCTCCAGGGATCGATGAAGAGACGGGGCTTACAAGAAGCACTTCAGCTTTGCAGCCGCATCCGATCCCCCTCGCTCCTCCGCAGCAACTCGGGTCATTGAAGGCTGTAGGGGTGGACTGGCTGAAGGAGGAATTTTCACAATGGATTAGGGCAAGAACGCAAGGCCTGGCTGAAGAGGGGGCCCCAGTGGTCGGTGCTTTGGATCCTGCGGCAGTCCTTATGACCCCGGAAGACGCGACCTCGGAGGCAGAGGCGACTGAAGATAGGGACGACATAACAGCTGCGTTGGTCGATCTCCTCTTCCCGCCGGATATAGCCACGTTCACTGTCTCCTCCACCTCCTCCACGACAGCATCAACTTCTGCGACTTTGCCCGAAGAACCATCCCCTGATAAATTGTCAGAATTTCTTCTCTCAATGCCCTTCTACATCTCGACCCTCAATCTCATCTGCATTGTGCTTCCACATTTACCTTTATCTCAGCACCCAACCTCGATGCTCAAAGCTCGGATTTCTGCTCATCTGTCATCCTTGAACAAGGCGCTGGATTTTGTAGTTGAGTTGCTGGAGCACGCTCAGACATCGGCTTCAACCACTGCCTCTGGAGAAGGAGGAATGCGAGGAGGTGCTGGCGACGAGCAAGAGGGATTCCTAGAAGAATCGCGTGCTGATATATTCGCGTTGCAAGATGCCTGTGCCAGGGCCACCGGGGTGTGGGAGAAGGTGAATCATGGATGATGATGATGATGATGATGATATGATGGTGGACGAAGACCATACGACGACGATGGGATATGACAGTGAAGAAACGACAAGTGAGCAGATGAGATGAAATGTGGGATTTCTATCTCCGGTACGCCTCCAGACCGGAACAGTGGAGTCAAGGAGACGTGACTGAAAAAGAGACAGAGTGGTGTCCGCGTGGACTGAAGAGAACGAGTAAGTAGTAGATGGGAATATCTACTGGTGCAGGCAGGAGTCTACCGAGTACGATGGCTGTTGACTGTTGGCTGTTCGTTGATTGACTTGACCATGAATTTCTCAAACCAGGAAGAAAAAGCAGTGTGTATGTAGATGGACATTCTTATTTATGTTTCTCTCTCTCTGTGTCTGTCTCTTGAATCTGTTTCGGCTTTTTTTTTTCAATTTGATTTTGGGGGTCTGGCTTCAATTTTTTTGTGTCTTTGACGGTGTCACAGTGACTGGTGACTGTGGTGGCCTGAATCAGCACCGTCGATCTTCTCTGGTGCGATCTAATCTGCGCCAGAGTGTGATTGCATAGGTACAGAAGCCAGCTTGCACCAATCTTCAAGCCAGCCAGCCAGCCTTCAGCGTGGTCGAGGAGTATGTATGCAAGTCCCAACGGAACAAACTTCGACGCAACCCTCCCCGGGAACCCCCCAGAAAAACAAAACAAAATCCACTCGTCTCTTGTCGCTTGGGACTAACAAGAAATTCTGCATCGAAAGAGTAAACGTCCGATCCCCAAGTTGTCTAGTTCGCCCATAGTCTAAAACTCCGGTCGGCGCCCAGTTCGTTCAAACAAGTCATGATAGCGAAGCAAGCAGTCCTGTTGATCCCGAGCCCCACATGCAGAACACGACTCCAGGGATAATGCTTCCAAGGTCGAAGGCCGGAGGCCGGAGGAGGTAAGAATTGGTCCGCGGGATGGGAAGAGAATCTCCCCGAACACATTAGGATTCTTGTGGCGACCCTGTTCTCTCCGAAGGCGCGGAAAGTCATCGAAACCCCCACTACATCGGTTCCAATCAACCCAACCCCACAACAAATTGGCGAGATGTGTCCATGTGATGTACACCGACACACACAAGGCAAACATTTCCGATTCTTTCCAAGGGGCCCTTCCGATCTTCGTCCCAGAATTGGGGGAAATACCCCCCGGAGGGCAGATCTTCCCCTCGGTGACACGATTTGTGGTTGGTTTTTTTCTTTTCGTGTGCGCATCATCCACCTACTCCACGTTCTATCCTGCCCGGTTCCGATCGCTCCTCGAATTTTGGTAGTGCGAATACCTGTTTGGTGAATGAATGCAAAGCCAAAGCTCGAACTGCATATCGGACGTCGACTGCGTGGTAATCATTTCCGACCAGCTGCACAACACTTGCACGCTCCACCAAGTTCGCCAGATTATTTGTCCCGAGTGTAGTTGATTATGACCAAACGTCTTCCTGGTACACGCCGCTGCTGCGCATGCTCTTGACCACTTGTTCGGCTTTCTTCTCGTCCACGCCCCGCTCGGCAGCGATGATCTGAGCGAGGACTTCATTGACTTCGCGAGCCATATGAGCAGCATCACCACAAACGTAGAAATTGGCCTTTTGTTGCAGCAGTTCATTAACCAACTTGCCATTTTCTTTGAGCAGGTGTTGCACATAGACCTTCTTGGAGGTCTCGCGGGAAAAGGCATTGAAGATGGTCAATTTATCGCCCAAGATCTTCTTGTATTCCTGGAATATTCTTTTAGCAACCAATGTCACTCCTGAGATCAACGGTAGTAATAAACTCACCTCCCACTCCTGCTTGTAGAGCCAGTCTTCTGTCGATCGACGGCAGCCGTAGAAGAGTACCGTGTGCCCGACCTCCTCCCCTCTTTTGGCTTGTTCTGCACGCTCCTGCACGAAACCCCGGAAGGGCGCAACACCAGTTCCAGGACCGACCATGATGATGGGCTTGCTGGGATTTGACGGCAATTTGAAATTGGAGTGTCGGACATGAACGGGGACATGAATACCGTCGTACTTGTTGCGGGGACCAGTAATGGCGTACGTGAGACCATGAGGTGATGGGTCCGGATCTCCGTTCTGCTTCTGCTTCAAGGCCAAAAGGTAATTGGTAGTGACGCCCTTAACAATGTGACCTGCACCGGGAACGCGGATTGATTCGACCACTGCAGTGATGGCGATCTTCTGGGGTTGAACAAGTGAAGACGAAGAGATCGAGTAATACCGAGGCTGCAACTTGTTGAGACCCTCCACAAGGCAAGAGAACGGGACAGCGGACCACGGTCCAGGGTGGACGGCCGAAACGGCCTGGGCAATATTCAGCATCTGCGAGGCAACCTTTTCCTTGAAGTAGTCGGCATCGGAACCCAATTTGGTCATTTCCTTCTTTGCATCCTCGTTGGGGGCAAAAGCGGCGAGCGTGGCTAAGAACTGACGCGAGACAGGGGCGCAGATTTCCATATGATAGCGAACAGCGGCGTCGTAAGTTGTTGGGGTTGGGAAGGGTACCTTGGCGGTTGCGTCCATACCCTTCATGCTGATAACCTTGTGTCTCTTCTCTTCCAAGCCAAAGGTCTTGATCAATCGATCCACTTCCATGCCTGCGTTCGTGGGCCAAATTGCGATATGGTCCCCAGTGGTGTAGGAGATGCCGGAGCCCGATATATCGATCTCGCAATGCAGGCAGTTTCGATCTTTGACAGTAAACAATTCCTTGGACTCGGCAATCGGTGCGATGAACGGGTTGTGAGCATTGTAGGGGCCCTTCTGTGCGCCTTCGAGGTGGTTCTTGTTGGGTTCTCCTAGATAAACAGTGTCACTTTCTGGGGACAGATCATCGCGTTCTTCGACGCTGAATACTGGTTCGTAAACAGCTTCACGTTCTTCCAGTCCCATCTTCTCGGCCAGAGCAGCCCACATGGGTTCTTTCCAGGCCAAGAAGTCTTCTTCCATGGTACCAGCACCGTCATCTCCTTCACCCGCAGCCCCGATCCTCTCAGCACCCAGTTTGGTCAAAATCTTGTCCAAGTTTCGGACCATGGAGTTGTAGTGCTCGTAGGTGTTGTTACCCAGACCAAACGCAACATATTTCAGGTTACCCAAGGGCTTATCTTCGGAGGCTTCGGAGAAGGAAGGAGGGTCTTGGTTCATAAACTCCCAGAATTCGACCGCGTTATCGGTGGGTTCACCCTCGCCGTAGGTGGCCATGACGAAGAAGGCAACTTTGTCCTCGGGGAATTTATCGAGGTTTTCATAGTCGTAGTCTTCCAGGTCAGCAGTCATTGTGGCCAGTCCGAAGCGAGCATGGCCCTCTTTGGCTAGACGGGAGGCATAATCTTCGGCGGTACCGGTCTGGGAGCCGTAGAAGATGACGCAGTTTTTGCCCGACTCCTCCATCTTCTCCAAGATGTTACGGGAACCTTTCTTGGAAGCGCTGCCATTGAGGGCAGATGTGGCATAAGGGTCCTTGGGGACACCCCAATAAGTGCCTTTGGTGAAGTAGGCGACGCTACCGAGAAGTAGCAGAACGAGGACAATAATGTCCAGGGTGTCGACCTGAGCCATGGTGGGGATGTGTATGGGATGAGGCTCACTTGACATTAGGTCTGCGAATTGGTTCGGAAAGTGCAAAAAAGAGGTGTCCTAAAGGAGCAGAGCGACACTGCTTATATACGACCGCAGCCCGCTCGGTGGTGAGCAATTGGACAGCGTGGAGATACGGGCTCGACGGGTACTTTGGGCTGCCGCGAACTGTATGTGGCCTGATGTGGCCAAGATTCCGGTGCGCAGATGTGCAGGGTGTGCACCTGGGCCCTCCTTGAGAGTGTTAGGTGGCTTGGTGGGGTAGACTGCGCAGGCTAGGTGTTTTCCTCCTTTTTTGCTTTGGCCTTTGTGTGGGCTCGGCGGCGTCGCGTTCCAGCTGCGAGATGGGGTAGCAGAGTGCGAGAGCAGGGGACGCTCAGATAATAGAGGCCAATGAGTCAGTATGGCGGATGCTCGATGGGGCTAGTTGAGGCCTTATCGGGGTTGGTTCGTCGCCGTTGGAAATGGAAACCTTCGACTGAATTTCTCGCCTAGAGGTTCGACTTGAAGAAACACAAAGGTGTAGAGCAAGAAAAAAGATAAAGGTGAGAAAGCGCAGGAGATTTTAAACCGAAACCAGGATGTCTAGGGTCAATATAAGGCTTGTAAACCGGCAATTGGGAGAATCGAAGAAATATAGAGGATCTGGGGTCTGGAGAAACTTGGCCGCCTGCGTGCAACGGCAAAGTCAGGTCGCGGAATTGTTTGGTGGGTTCGGATGATGAATCGCGACGATGCGCGAGGCAGCAACCAACGGCGAGCAAGTGCGCAGTGACTTCGGTGGCTATTCGGCACCCGTGATGTTGGTGACTGGGTGACTTGCCGGGCACAATAATAGGCGGAACGAGTGCTCGGAATTGGGGGTGAAAGGGGGGGGGGGGCGTGATGATAGTTGGGAGCCTCGAGGGGTTCCTCCGCGGGATCAAACGGGTGAAGGACGGCAGTTGAATTTCTCCTGGACGAAGCACAGGTTGAAGAACGACGGTGCCCTTCCTTTTATTTCTATCCTCTACTCTTGTACGGGTAGTAAGTGCATTCAATATTCGCCGCCGCTCACTACATAATGCTTGTAGCATTCCCGTGATGGCTGACTGCGGTGCCCCATCTGCATCTGATTGTGATGGCAACGAGTAGATCCTGCACTGAGTACAGTACTTGTACAACACTGCACATAGGAATGAATGAAACTACCTAGTATCGAGGAACCCTCCACTGATGCTCGTAACCGAACACGGTAAAAACAACATATTCACTTGTAGATACCAATTTCGAAGACTACTGCAGGATACGAAGTACGATTATTGTGGGTTCATGTGGTGGCAACAAAACTGACCTTCTCATCCCCACATCCATCCCGCACACCACTCACATTGATTGGCACGACTACCACAGGAGATCCCCTGCACACACCTG